TGAATTCACATACAGTGGTGCCCCGCATAATGGACGCCCCGTTTAACGACAAATCCGTATAGCGAAGAAGATTTTGCGAACACAAAAGCGATCGCATTGCGATGTTTTAGATAGCGAAAAATCGCTTTGCGATGATCGGTAAGCTGTTTCGCTTACCGATTTTCGCATAGCGATGTTTTAAAAACAACTGATCGGCGGATCCAAAATAGCCGCCAGAAAAAATGGCCGCCCGCTATGTTTATGCGCCCTTTCCTCACTTACCAGGCAGCGAAAATGGCAGCCGTATGGAGGATTTTCGCTGAACGGTGAGTTTTTTGCCCATAGGAACGCATTGAACGTGTTTTAATGCATTCCTATGGGCTTTTTTGTTTCATATAGCGACGATTCCACATAGCGATGATTTTTCTGGAACGGATTATCATCGCTATGCAGGGCACCACTGTAGTGTGTTCATGTCAGTGCAACCTAACTGCTGCTATTTTATTTTTGGGTGTCAAAGATTCTGCATGCAGAGCGAGAACTTAAGTATTCCTGGAGTTGTTATCTAGAAGAACCACCTATTTCTCCAACTCTTGATCCTCAGCTTGGTTCTGCTATCTAGAGATGATGGGAGTTGTAGTTCAGCATCACCCGGAAGGTCAAGGGTTGCCCAACCTGGAATGTACTGTATATCCCACATGAGGTGTTGGGCAAGGCAGTTCCGTCAATGTTTCTTTTGGAAAGGATGGTCACTGCAGACCACACGGGGGCCTCCTGGATCTAAAGCTGCAAAGATCTGTGGTGTCAGGACCAGAATCCCCTGAGAAAATTCTGGGAACGGTAGACCAAAGACACAAAAACCCCTCGCTCTTCTTAAGCCATCTTGCTATTCCCCTTCCTTTCCCTTGCTTTCGTTTTAATTTCTCAGGGCCAGGCATAACCTGCGACAGGACAACGTAAAAATAAAAGCTGGGTAAGGGGGGAAAAATTACAATCCCAAGGATATCTGTTTTGGTTTGTATCCAGGACGCACAAGAAAAAAGCAATCAGACAGACAGAGCTCTTAGTGGCCCCGGTCATGGAAAATGCCTTGGCCGTTGCAATCCCATGCACAATTCGGGGTGGGAAAAAGAGAGAGAGAGAGATTAAGAAGAGTTAGGAGCGCTTACCTGACACTGAGTTCGCGCTGCAGCATAACAAAGAACATGATGCAACCAGTATTAGAACAGGGGGGCAACACCAGCAGGGCGTTAAGAGGCAACGGGGTAATCATTAAGACAAAAGACAAATAGGATTATGTTTCCCACAGTCATGGCGCAGTTCACATTCCCACATACGTTTGTCATGTTTGCAAAGCACTCAAAAACACCCACTTTTGCTCCAAGCGGCTCTTGGGGCAGAAGGCAGCTTTGCAAGGGGGGGCCACATATTTATTACATGACTCTTATTTTTCAAATTCTATATTTTTCATTCCAAATCTGAATCCCCACCCCCACCTCCAGTTCACATATGCAGCCACGGGGTCGCACATGGGGATATCCTATGTCTGTCCATGGAGGCTTCGAGCCCTGAGGTCAAATCAAACCCATGACTTGTTAAGGTTCTATAAGACGCCGGCTGAGGCGCAATACTAAGTCACAACGAGACTGGGCACATGGAATCAGCAGGGGGGGTGTATTTGGTGAGTCAACTCCCCCATTAAGGTTCACCAATTCAATGGGCCTGCTCTAGTTGTGACTTATTACTGGATTTCAGCCACGGCATTGGTCACAGCTGCAAAAGACTATAGACTAACACGGCTACTCTTATGTCAACCACAGGTGAGCTCATCCAGATAGAGCAGCGGTTCCCAGCCTTGAGCCCCCCATATGTATCTTGGCAGGAACGTCAGCTTAGGAAAGTTCCTTTCTGGAAACCCTAATGCATTCTGCATTAATAAAATAAAACAAAACAAATTATATTATTAAATAATATGTGCTGTGAATGCTCATGTAAGCCCTATGAAATATTGGTTCAGCCTAAAAGGGTGGGTATAAAATAGAGCAAGGCTGCGAGTAAGAAATCTGAATCAGAAAGAGCAGGAGAACTGAAGAGGCCAGAGCTGCTGTCCCCACTTAAGACTGCTAAGGCTCTTGCCAACTTGCTCTAGTGTTTTGAAGATTCTCCTGCGTTCTAGGGACCCAAACCAGCTGAGAAAGATATCTTAGATTCATGTCTGACTCTGAAACCAAAGGGACACTTGACCTTTGCAAATCCTACAAGCCACTCCTATCGGTGCTGTGGCTGAGGGCTGGGGTGCACAAACTGTAGCCTGTTGTCGTTGCTATAATTGTTCGTGGACTGCAAACAAGAGACTTAATTTGTGAAATTGTTTTTGCAATATTCATAGGCAGGAAGCAAATAGCCCCACGGAACTTTAAAAAGTGTTACGCATGGGGAGAGCAGCATACACGGTCCCGATGGGAAAGAGATCAAACCAAGGGTTTCGTTTTCGTTCGTTGTCCATCTCTAAGGATGCTGATGTGCAGATAACGAGAGGAAGAGACCCCCTTAGCCACTGGAAGTGGTGGCGTTCAAGTCTCTTGGGCAATTGAACGCCTCTGTTACCGTCTGCATGAATGAAGGCATTCAAAATTCACAGCTAGCCTCCCACTGCCTAAATGTGGAGCAGAAGTGAAATCATGCCAGCATCTCCTGCTTTCTTTTTTCTTTTTTTTGGCAGCCCCCCCCCCGTTGGTGCGGCCAAGTTCACAGCCAGCATGAGAAAAGGGTGTGCAAGAGCGGGGGAGGGAACGACACTAATGGGATTCCCCTTCTGCTCTGTGTTTAGGTTGCAAGACGCTACCCAATACTTGTGGGAAATAAATCTACTTCCTCACTTGTTGGGGGGGGGATACCCAAGTGAACCCGTCCATTTCCTGACCGCTTGTGGTTTGCAACAGAAATTGCGTTGTCCAATGGTTCCCGGGTGGCTTGCTGGAGCCTGCACATTGGGTGACCGTTTGGGAAAGCAGATAGAGAGACGCATGACCCCAAATCAAAAACTAGAAGAGAAAATATAAGCCCCCCCCCCAATGCCATTAATTTGCAAGGGCGTTCTGGAGGGCAACATTGTTCAAGTAGAGCAACCTTGTTCAAGTACCTACAGCCTCCTTCCCTCCTTTTCAGGGGAGACGGTGGGCCTTCTCAAAATAGGTTCCTTCTTTTTTTAAAAAAAAAAAAAGCCACCCCTCCACCACTTTGATTTCTTAATTTTGGGTTAGAAAAGTGGGGGACGTCTTATACATGGGGGTGTCTTATACATGGAAAAATACGGTATATGTAGGAAAATATGTAGGAAAATGTGAATAACTTCTTAATTGTTAGAGCAGTACGACAATGGAACCTAAGACCTCAGGAGAAGGTGAGCGTTCCAATGCTGGAGGCATCCAAGAGAAATTAATTTCTAAACTTCTAAATTTAGAAATTTGTCAGATCGGCTTCGATTTGGATTCCAGGGGGTTGGACTCAATGGCCTTAAGAGGCCCCTTCCAACTCCATGATTCTAGGATTCTATGAATAGCTTTTTGTAGGAAAAAAAATATTAGCAACCAGATACAGAACCAGTATAGAATAAACACAGCAGTGGAAAAATAAGAAACGGAATGAGATCAAGACAGGGAAAGTCAAGGAGAGTCCCAAAACAGACAGGGATATCATCATCCTAGAATTTCAGAGCTGAAAGGGGCCCCTAAAGCTGATTCTCCACTTGGCCCCTGTCAAGGAGGCACAGTGGGGGAATCAAACTCCCAACGTCTGGCTCTGCAGCCAGAGACCTAAGCCAATGAGCTACTAACCTCAAAGAGCTTCCAGAATTGCAGGCAGATTTTCTAGATCTGTATCAACAAACAAATTCCTCCAATTTCCCACTCTAACATCAGATCTTCCATATTCCTTATGCGTGTTGGTCAGAGTTTAGACACACTACTTTTTAGATTACAGCTCACAGAACTGCCCGCTGCCCTAGTCGCTATGTTGCCTGGGGGAATATGGACGTTGCTTTCAAGCATGGAGCACTGGAGAGTTTTTGCCCCTGATAAATTATACCCCCCAGGAGAATCTTGGAATTACCCCCTAGGAGAATTTCCCCCTTGGATATAAAACTGCCGCCCATCCCTGTTCAAAGCACTGAAGCACCTTCTTGGGAGGTCAACGGGGCTAGCCCATGAGAACAGAGGGCGAGCAAGGCCTAAGGGAACCTTCCGAGACCTCAGGGACTGGAGAGAGGAGAAAAGCGTTTCCTGAACATCATTCCACGGAAGGAACGACAGTGCGTCTCACAACTTGCCTCTTCCTGCCCAAGGATGATGCAAGGAGATTCCTTCGAAGGCCATCAGCCTGACAAACTGGGGAAGAGACATGAACCCCTCTGGTGTGGATCCAGAAACCTGCCCAGCCAGAGACGTGAACACCTCTCCACCTCAATTCGGTGACAAGTCTCCGAATTAAAGCCATGTTTTCTTCCCACCAGTGTTTTGTATTTGGTTGCAAGACTGGCTTTTTTTTTTGCTTTGCTTATTTGTTTTTTGCACAAAAATGCACACCCACTTTATCGACGCACGTTTCCCCCATTGACACATTTCCTCCTGTTGGGTTTCTTCGGTAATTTTTGTACCTACTCTCTCAGTGGCGTGTCCTCTAGCCATGTGCATTTTAAAATAGGTGCTGCATAGTTTTGCACACTTTCCTTTTCCAAAGCACCCTCTGCCAGTTCACAGGACTACGAGCTGGAAGAGGAGCAAAAAGGGAGACTGTGGAATTAAGTGAATTCCCCCCCCCCTTTTTTCTGCAAAGAATATAGAATTCTGCAACAAGTTCCCCTCAATCTGGAAGGAGGCTGAATTCGTTTCATGGTATGAGTTCGGTAACACAAGACGCGGCAGACTGCGAAGCCCCAGAAAAGTTGCCTCGGCCCATGTCCAGCTGGACTGGCTCATGCCCTGCGCAAGGTGCCCATGCCCAGTCACCAAGGCGGCCCTTACCTCTTCCAGCTGGCTGTGCACATGCTGGACAATCAGGTCAATGGCCACGGTGTTTCCACTGCCTGAAGTCAAAAAGAGAGAGAGAGAAGGCATGACTTTTGGCTACTGCTAGTCACCCTAAATGGCCACTAGAGGGCACCAACACAGAGCCCACGTAAAAGCTAGAACCCCCCCATCACAATTATTTTCTACAATTCTCATTCCCCCCCCCCAATTGGGAAGGATCCTACCTCTTTTAACTGTTACTTTTTTGAACTACAACCCCCAGAATCCCTCATATCTCTGGGCATCCAAATCAAAGCTTGGCTATTTTACTTTTTAGAACCACATCTGGGGAGCAACAGTCCAAAATATAATTTATTTTCGAATGTTCTAGTGAATATAATTATTAATATATGTATTAATATTTATTAATACATGTATTACTA